ACACGAACATTCCTGATGAAGGTCTACTGCTCTACCCTGTGGCGGTCCGTGCTCCTACGGGACACAAAGAAGGATCTTCAAGGGACGACGTCTCTTTGCTGTCCTCATTACTTTCACATCCAATCGCGCCCAACACCATTTTGTCATTACCGGTTTGTTTCCACATCACCAAGAAGACCAACCTTCGAAGCATTTGGAGGCAGGGATTAATTCCAGGAGGTCTTGGAGAAGGTCATCGGATGTTCACGTTCTTCAACCCGTATGTGCCATGGGATCACAGATCATGGACTATCACGAAGAGCGTTGATACGCGAAAGGGGGACTACATTTGCTTGTTCATCCCGACCGAGACCTTGATGGTGGAATATGGCGGTCGACTGACTGACTCGGGACAGATCGTCTCACCAAAGATCATCCCGTTCTCGGCAATCAAAGGAGGATGGATTCAGGACCCAAAGGACCAAAACAATAAGACATGGCTCCGGTTGTTCGTCCCGTCGGGCGACGACCAGGTAGTCCGGTCTGGAACTGTCAAATCAAGAACGGTAGCCACCAAGGAGTCCATCTTGAGGGTTGCAAGTCAATGCATCGACGCCGAAGATCAACCGTTTGACGAAACCGCCATGGATGCCATGAACATCGTCAACCAATTCAAGAACGACCTCATCAAGCCTGGCGGACAAGAACAATACCTGGCTCGCATCAAGCTGATTGACTACATAGTCGAACGCAAAAGGGTGCAAACATCAGGTTGCCGCCATTGTCCTCACTGTCTCAATGAGACGCCGACAAAACTAGCAGTGTGTCTAGTTTGCTGGACGGAACTGGAAAGTTGTGGAATCCGTCCCTATCGGCTACAAGCTCCTGAAGACGATGAAGATGAGGCCACGAAGAAAGAGATCGATGAAGAGGTTCGACGACAAGAAGAATCGTTGTTCAAGGATACGGTCCATCAAGCACAAGAAAACGTATCCGAATCCAACGACTATGGCTTCAATCCCGACGAGGTCGATTACAACGAAGGCGATGATGAAGAAATGGATCAGGAGGAGGAAGCCCAACAGGAAGACGACGAAATCGTTGAAGAAGACGAAGATGAAATGGAAGTCGAACCTGAAGATGAATCCTCTTCCAAACTTCCAGCATGGACCAAGAACCTCGAGAGCGGCAGCAAGGGTATGCCAGAAGACGGACTTATCAACAATGATGTCTCCGAGGCCGCGGCTCACTTGTATGACAATGCTGTCATGTCAAAGGTCATCACTATGTTCAGGCTCTACTACAAACAGAGAGTCACTCTGACCCCAGAGGAGTACTATGAGATGATGACGGAAACCAAGCGAGTCCGGCTGGACCTGGACGACTTCTGTCCTTATACAGGAGAAGACCAGGATGGCAACCTCAAGCGACCGACGGAGCTGGAATTGGATGAACTCTTTCAGCAGAAAGGGAAGAGGAATTCATGGTCAGAAGGAGAGAAGTTATACTCAGGGCGACCCAGAAACATGATGATGCCTGTCATCAAGACTTTGGAAATCTATGAGAAGATGATGGAATTTCTGGTACGTGCTGGGTACACTCCTGAGTCATTAGGCTTTCTCATGCCAATGAACCGAATGCAGGCTGATGCCCAAGGGAAACATGAGATGCGAGTAACCATCAGCAATTTCCTTCGACGACTGCTCAAAGGAACCTTTCCGGAGCACGAGTCATACACCTTCTTTCGCTCCGGGAGCCACGGCTTCCCCAACTGCATCGAACTCCCAGCCTTCTCGGTATATCTGAGCCTGAGGGAGAAAGAACAGAGAGTAGAACTGCTCTTTGCAGCCCAACAATGTGGCATTCCTTTACCTCAAAACTTTGTCAGCAAGATGGCTTATGCTATTCAGCTGGCCGAGGCCGAGGCGCAGAGGGGAAAGACCGAGATGAAAACGAAGATGGCTCCAACCCTTGGCGACGAAGTGGTGAGTGAAGTATTCAAAGCGGTTGGACATACTGCAGCTTCTAAGTTTGCTAAACCGGCTGCGCAACCTTCACAGGCACCTGAAGGCACTGGTTCAGCATCATCCTCATCGGCTAGTGCACCAAAGGGCAAGGCTATGCCGAAATCCCATGAACCATCAAAGGCACCGCCTGCAAAGCCTTCATCGCCGAAAGCTGCTCCGAAACGTGCGGCTGGATGGGAGAGAACTCCAACAGCACCTCAATGGAAGAAAGTCCGCCGTGAGCAGTAAACCAATTACTTCGATCCGTCAAAATGATCACTGGGCTACAAGATGTTTACCGTCTTTGTGAACAGATGATCAGGAAAAGACCAACTGAGTGGACACTGAGCGAGGCATTAGACTAATTCGCTTAGGTTCAAGAATTTTGATATTCCCAATCTGCACGAGATTCTGCATTGTGCACGTGAATTCGTTAGTTAGCATTGTAAATCTTTGGTAGCGAGGCGATCCATTTCTCCCGACGGGTGAGTGGCATGCTTAGCCAACGTAGAAAGGTAGATGTTAGCTAGCAATAATTCGCGTTGTATAGCTTGAGGAAGCGCCGATGCATCGACAGCCAAAGAGTAGGTGAACCCTGAACCATTATACCCGACGGGTATGTGGGGAAGGGGGATCCGAATGGCACGTTTTATGTACATAGGCGTAATTCGAGCAGCAGAAGGATTTAATTCAAAGTTCCCACTCTCGTGCCTACGGTTCGAAGATGCCGTAGGCATGGGGGGTGCGAAAGGGAACTAGGTAACACAATCATTTCACATGCTGAGCATGTAGTCAGTGATGCATGGAATGCCAATCACTTGGCTCAAGTCATGCGCGAGGAAAAAGACCGTTCTCCGAACGCCATGCAGTGACGTTGCCCTGCACTACCAGCACAACCGGTACTACAATCAAAAGGGATAATCCAGAACAAGGATCAATTTGTTCACATTTTCCATAATATATCACAATATTTTCCATAATATTATACATATATATATATCATGATCTATTTATATCATAGTATATCATATGAATATTATGACAGAGACTCCATCATAAAGCCATGACAAGGAATCCCCAACAGTTGTGGGATGACCTGGGAGACCATGGGATTTGAAGCGCTTTTTGGATGGGATGTTTTGTTGGTAAGTTTATAAAGCAACATGGGGATGGGTTGAACATCTATGACTCTTCAGACTTGGTTGTTGTGGGCACATATATATATACAATATATATATATACACATAATATATAATATAATATATATATATATACACATAATATATAATATAATATATATATATACATAATATATATATATATATAATGTTATTGAACAAACATCATTTGCCAGTGATGTTGATGTGGAAACCCGGAAAAGAATGGGGTTTTTGATCCACAGCTCCACCTTGGCTTGTCGGAGCCGATGAAGTGACCAGATGCGTTTGCTCGTAAGAACAGCGTGTTAACTTGGGAACGCCATTAGTCTATAGCAGTTTCAACTAGTGACAAGAGTCTGTTGACTGGTACAAACCACACTACCCATCCAACGGTAGATATGGAGGTTTCCTAAGTCATGGGGTACCCCCAGTCATCATCCATTTATAGATTGGCATTTCCCTGTCATCATCCATATTTTAATGGTATTTTCCACTATAAACCATCCATATCATCCATTTATAGATGGTATTTTCCATGTTTTCCCCCGATTTTCCCATGGTAAACCCTTCATTTTTCCATGAAATCAACCATCCAGCGACATGGCGGAGTCGGGCTAGCACCCCATGTCGGCCGGCAGGGATCAGCTCCAAAGGCTGCGTCAGAGATGCTTGGCTGACGGGGAGCAGCATGGAGGGGGACAGTGGGTAAAACAATGCCATAAACCCATGATGATTGGAGATATCCATGATATATCAATGGTATGATCAAACCTATTATCCCATGATTGTTTACTCTTATTGGAGCTATTATCAATGATATATATATATAGATACGTAGATGATTGATTTTATCCTATCACTTTGTATAACAATCATAAACCACCCCCAAATCAATAGAAAATCACATCACCATTTTTTTTTGGGGGGGTTTCATAGTAATTTCAACCTTGGAGGTTTCCATAGTCATGGGGCTACCGCCATAGCTGGATGGTTTATGGAAAAATGCCATCTATAAATGGATGATATGGATGGTTTATAGTGGAAAATAAAAAAAATGGATGATGACTGGGAAATACCAATCTATAAATGGATGATGACTGGGGGTACCCCATGACTTAGGCCCCCAACATGACGTGTCGAAAATCTCTGGCAGTATCCCAGGAATTCCCACGCCTCTAGCGGCTTGGGAACCCGGGCAAGCCACAAGAGTTGAAACTACTTGGATGTGGGTCAAAATGGAAGACCGATGTGGGACCACATGGAAATGTCTAGTTTAGTATTAACCATCCATAATTATGGGGTACCTAATTTTGACCCATACCCACTTCAATACCTGGGCAATCCACGGCTTATTCTTAGCACGGGGTGAACCGTGAGGAAGCTCCTAAACCTTGTTCCATGCTGGTGAACCAAGTCCATTTCAACTGAATCATTTCGAAGACCCCAATGATTTCGAAACTACCCTCTGGTTATTTGTTGCATAGCCATGGAAAATGGCCCATTTATAGATGGTTTGCCTATTAACAATGGTGATTTTCTATGGCTATGTTAGTCATAACCAGATGGTACCTGTAGGACTATTTGACGATTTTCATCCTGATCCCTACTACTGTTGTCACTTGTTTCATCCCCATTTCGAACTGTTTATTGCTTCTAAAATCCTAATCTCACTGGATTGAAGGGAAAATCAGGGAAAATCCAACCCGTTGATATAGTGCTTTCACCCTTTGATATAGTTGTAGCGATATATAGTTAGATAATCAGATGGGAAAATAATGATTTTCACCTTGCGACATAGTGCTTTCCTCATTTTCCGAACATCCAATTCTTGGACCCCTCATTCAACTTGTCTGAGGAGTGCGCACGATAAATCGACAGCGGCGCCGCAGGTTGTCAGATGATGGGGCGACACATTTTTTGGGGCAATGGCAAAATATGAGTATCTACGAAGAAAAATGGGTACAGTAAAAATCAACAAACATCTGGGTATAATGGGATAATATGGGATATATACAGTAAAATAGGAACAAAGACAGTTTGAGGATATACCAGCTGGACTTAGCTGGACTGGGTTTGAGTCATTTCTTATTTTCTCAGAAATCCACCAGGGATCTGTCAGCAAATCCAAGTTGTGAATGTCGACTGGGGCATGGAGAAACCTTGGATAGCTTGGTACTTTAATCCTTTGCAGATGGTGATAGATGCTAGCAGCTATCTTTTTGTAACCCAGGGTATCCAAGATTGGCTATTTGAATGATTTCTGATTTGGAGCTTTGACAGAGCTTGAAGGGGGTTATTGTATGTTGCTGTAGAGTCTAGAAAACTGGGAACTTAACTATGGCTCATTTTTGGCCCATCAGAATGGCCTTTTGAATCCTGATACATTCCCTTAGCGCCCCAGAAAGGGACGGCTTTTTGATGGATCTGCCATGGATCCAATGGAGGCCCCCAGAGGGACCCCAACCTCCAAAGACCGCCGAAGGCCTCTGAAGCTCGAAGTCATGAAGCGGAGGACATGCGGAGACTGACTGGATGATTTTCGAGATTTTGTGTTGGCATCTTATGAATATCAAACAACTCAGTTTTTTTTGTTGGAACCCTCCGATTTTTTAGGGCAGATGATTTGTGATTTTCATGCTGTTGGGGGCGGGTAGAAGTTTGATGTACATGTATGCCAATGAAACATGGTTTTATAAGGATCGCAAGCCCATCCCGAAGGCATGTCATATTTTTGGTTTGGAACCCCTTTTCCAAACATGTTTTAGGCCTTTTACGAAGGTTGCTGACTTCGTTCTTTGTGAAACACCCAGATAGCAATGAAGTGATTTTTCATTCGTCACTTGCCCTTTTCGTTTTTCCATGATAGTTTAGTTTACCCTCTGGTTATTTAACATAGCCATGGAAAATGATCCATTTATAGATGGTTTACCTATTAAAAATGGTGATTTTCCATGGCTATGTTAAATAACCAGATGGTGTATTTTCCATGTTTTTTCAAAAATCATCTTGTCCCATTCTATTCCACTAAATCCATTTATGACCTTAGTAATTTATCCACTGGGATATTACCTGTTCCAATAATGATATCCCATGGGGAATCATGTTCCATTCTATTTCACTCAACGTTGATATTTTTCATGTGGATATACTATGGGGATATGTTATTCCCATGGGGAATCCCCATATTTTCCATGGGTTTTTCCATATCCTAATGGTAAATACATAGAGTGTATTGTCCGAATAGATATATATATGTATCATAACTAATCATAACTGGTTGGTGGTTTGGAACATTTGGATCATTTTTTTCTATATATTGGGAATCATCATCCCAAGTGACGAAGTCCATCATTTTTCAGAGGGATTCAAACCACCAAGCAGATATTATTAACCATCATTAACCATTAATAATAACCATTAATATTAACCATTATTAACCTCAATGGATTGGATTAAGGGAAAATTTACAGGAAAACCCCATATTTAATGGGAAAATCTATGGTTTCCGGTTAAGATTTTCCCTTAAACCAATCCATTGATAACCAGGTTTTTCTTAACCAACCAGGATGATAGGGCTCAACCACCACCTGGCCGACTCGCCGCGGTCAGGAGTCGGATTGCAGTACCGTGGACACGGGCTCCCTACGGGAGGTGCCACACACGCCGGAGATGGAGCCGGCGCATGCGTCGCGTGGCGCGTTGGGATGGGGAGAAGGGAACAGGTTGATGGGATTTCTAGGGATTTGCTGGTTTGATGGGCTTTACTGCTAGTATTTTCAATAGGATTTATAGTTTTTTTTTTTCCTGAGGATGTTTGATGGGATTCAAAGGGATTGAATTGGATTTAACAAGTATTGATCATATTTTAACCATCAACGATATTGGGATGGGGTTTGGGTCAAAATTGTCCCCACAAAAAGAACGGATCAACGAATAAACAACTCGTGGGTTGGGTGCCCAAACTGTGTGACCTTAGGTGAAACTGTCAATCGCAGAGGAAAAGGATGATTACAGTAAACCTAATTAGCCATACTTACCCTCTGGTAAACGTTAACATAACTATGGAAAATCACAATTTTCAATGGGTAAATCAACTATAAATGGCCATGTTCAATAGCTATGTTAGTTTACCAGAGGGTAAACATACTTAAACACAGTTAAACATCATTAAATCAGCAAAAAATGATGAACATGGTGAGTTAAGCACCGGGGATTTGGGTGATCCACCCGGTTTTAAAGAGGCGGTTTCTGGGTGGGAACCTTGTTGCATGGGGAACATACGTAGCTGAACACCTGGCTGATTGGCCATGGCATGTTGCGAAATCGAAAAAAGAATCTATACCCATACAAGAAACAGGATATCATGTTGTTAATGATATAATGATATAATTATATAATGATATAATGATACAATGATATACTGATATAATGATAATGATATAATGATATCATGATATACTGTAATGATATAATATGATATAATGATATAGTTATAAAATGATATGATGATATCATGATATAGTCGATATAGTGATATAGTGAAAAACATAAACAATTTTATTCATTTTTTTGGCAAGGGTAGCTAGCCTCCAGTAATGTATGGAATATCAGCATAAAAATCATGCCCAAGGAAAACCAATGATTTTCTTTCAGTTTGCACATACCAATAGGCCATCGATGGCCCAAGAAATCTGCACGACAAGCCCCAAAATATGGAAATAGAAGTTGGTACAATCCGATTCTGAAATAGTGATAAATTAAAGTGTCGCTGAACCTGTTTTTGGTTTCTGTAATTTGATATCAATTGTGGACTTACACATATTATCCAGAGATGCTGAGTTAGTTACTCTCCTCTCAACATGTGTTTTTGCTTAACATGAGCATTTGGGGTAGATTCGACATCTCCTAGACACCCTAAAATCGGATGGGGCGTGCACAACTTTCAAGAGTTGGGATCTCTGTCATCCAAGTCGCATGCGCTCGAGTTGTCAACGAGAACAGACACCAATTCCATGACACCAATTCCATATATCTGGGTTAAATAAGGGAAATCATCCCCAAATGGTTAGTGAAACATTACAATTTACCTATATATATATACACAGAATTTTCGGAAAAAATGTTTTCGAAGAAATGCCCAGTCAGACATCTTTCAGCATCTTTGAGCATTTTTTTTAAAAAAAAGTATCATCCCTAGCAGCACCGAACTGGATCCCCATCTGGTCTTTCCCAGGTTTCCAATGCAGATGTCCCTCACGGGCTTGCTGAGTCAGGCAGCATCCTCCTCGGAGGCGCTGGAAGTTGAAACTGTGGATTGGTTAAAAGATGGTGAAACGCCAACCAAAAATCTTGGATAATATTGGGATGTTTATCACCTATCTATAAATATTATCACCTATCTATAAATATTCGGATGTGTTTTTCCACACATCAACGTTTTTGACAGATATATATTGAAACATTGTGGCCTAACATTTTGGATATCCTTTTGCTGACTTGAAACATTGTAACAGACAGATCTGCCATGTATCAAACATGTTGTTCAATGTTTACTATGACGATCAACTCGATACCAACATTTCCAAAAAGCAGACGTTGGGTTGAGATCTGTTGAAATGGGGTTTATCCCGCAAAAAATCCCGCAAAATGGTTGGGGGTTACCTATCAATGAACAAGCGCATGGTAAGAAGAGAGAGGCAACGGGGGATATCATCAAGATTTATACTTGTACAGACATAATCAAACATGTGGTTAATCATCTAGAAATGGATGAGTAAGCTCTATGTTTGTTTTTGGCACAGATACAATATGTTGGTTGTTCTTTGCGTATAATGTGGTTAAAACAATAATACACAATTTTATTTTTGATGGTTTGTATCACCCATTTATGGTGAATTTGGGAATGGTTTATCTTTGTTTTAACCACATTATTCCATATTTGATTCCCACAAGACACAGCAATAGCAAAGATGGAAGAAACGACGTCATCTGTGACAGGGAATTGAACAGTGTTCAATGGTTTTTCATAGGTTGATGTTGATACAAACCATGACACGAAAACGTGTCTGGATATTAGGGGATGAACACATTATTATATATATATATATATACATATTTATGTGTATATATATATTATCTCCATTTGACAGTTTTATGATCCATGGGAAACACACATATATATATATATACATACATATATATATATACATATATATATATACATATATATATATACATATATATATACATACATATATATATACATACATATATATATATATCTATTGAGTTAGTCCATGGCGATTTTGTCGATACAACTGACCCAATGGAAAGTATATGACAAGCAACATGTTTACTTCCCCTAGAACGGTGTTTCACTGGGTCTGAGAATTCGACTCATATCCACACATATCCAAACGGATATGATATATACATGATTCAATGGCCATTTCAGGAAGCTAAATTGGAGGTACCTACCATATATAAGGCCTATATAAGGCCTATGTAAGGGAATATCCCCACAAAATATAGCCTTATATGGTACAGTACCTCCATTTTTGGATCCTGAAATTCCCATTGAATGATCTAATTCCTAGTTAATTATGTTCAAAGGAAGCTTGGTTGGCAAACATTCGACTTATGGACACATGTCAATGGGGAGCTGCAGCTAATACAAACACAGCACGGTAGCACCACTGGGAAGTTGACACAGGAGGTAGTGGAACCATTTGATTTGTATTTGTGGGAAGGGTTTGAAACTGAGAACTGCATACCGCAACATACCTAGTCTTACCAAAACTGGGGGGTCTCTAAACCTTTGAACTCATCAACTTTATCATCTCAAAGGTTGAATTCTCAAGTCTTGGTATACCACATCTATTGGCCGGTATATCCCAATTATATACTTATTGGCCAAAAACAACCATGGGTGATTTCTTAACATCTCTCTCTCTCTCTCTCCCCATGCAGTCCCTAATGGTTCAGAGTTCACCATTAAATGGGGGTATACAGTCACGGGGTTTGATTTCACCCTTTAAATTCATTGTATAAGGTTACTCTGTGGTAAATTACCGTAGCTATGGAAAATGGATGAAAATGGCCTGTTTTAGCTGAATTACTGCCTATTCAATACGGTGATTAGTGATTTTCCATAGCTATGTTGAAGTACCAGAGGGTAACTTCGCTCATCATCACCCAGTTATTGAAAATACCCCAGTTATAGTGAGTTTTCCTATTAAAAATTGTGATTTTCCATAGCTACGTTGAATTACCAGAGGGTACACCAATCATCTCCCATAAATTTCCCGTGATCTCTTCGTTACAGGCGAAACCACCCTTTTTTTTCCCATATTTTTCCAGGACTTTTGAATGTGTCACCCTGGGGCATAGCCGTAACCATTTACATCTGGTTGGTGGTTTGGAACATGGCTTTTATTTCTCCATATATTGGGAACAATTATCCCATTTGACGAACTCATATATTTTTCAGAGGGGGTTGAAACTCAACCACCAAGTAGACTAATAGATGTGGAAAAGCCGTGGTGTTTTTTTTTTTCCGTTCGGAAAATCCATATCTTTGGTCCAAACAGGTTTACCTTCTGAATCACCTGCGGAATGATCGAATGATCCCAGTGAATGGTGGTTTTTATTGGTGATGACACATGATGATACTGGAATGATCCAATATTGAAGAATGGGTATACTGAATAGTTCATATTTTCATGCATGTACATGAACACATTCACCAAATTATACATGATTCAATTGATTTAATCACCATTTTTTCATGATAACAAAAAAATCACCATCAATATTAAATATTCACCATATTTCACCATTATATTAATGCATATATATGATTTTCATGGTGATGCATCGTAAAGGTTGGAGGCTTTCTGCAGAAAAAATCCTCCGTCCGTGCCAGGTGTTAACCCCCGAGCCCGTGGCGCCCATGGCCACGTCTTCCAGTTTCTTCTCATCCATGGCAGGACTTCATGGTGAATTCATGGTGATACAAACCCTAAAAAGAAAAGGGTGATTTACCCTCTGGTAATTTAACGTAGCTATTGAAAATGGCCATAGAAATAGTGGATTTTCCCATTAAAAATGGTGATTTTCCATAGTTATGTTAGTTTACCAGAGGGTAAGCTAATTTATAGGTGATTATACTGGTGATTAGTGGTGATGATACTGGTTTAGCTGGGCATTATATTATGAGGATGGGTCAAGTTAGTTGGCTATGAAATTACCATATGACTTGGGGAAGAAACATGACATAAATGCCATTTTTTTCGGGTACCATTTTGGGTGCCAGGGTTTTGATTCATAGCAATATAACGAACTAGTTTCGTCGGGGTTTATGGTTGTGATGTTATGGAAGTTTAGGGAATACCCTCTGGTAAACATACTATAACTTGCCATTTTCAATTATGTTAAATTACCAGAGGGTATGGGGTATATGAAGTTGATGGAAGATCACTCCATTTATGGAATAACCCCCCCAGTGGGTTGATGCCTCTTATAAACCAACAGCCATAACTGGGGGACCCACCAACAGTGGGTTTTTTGGTTGGTACAATGAATCAATTTGACCTTCAGGGATATATGATGATCCATTTACCCTCTAGCTATTTAACATAGCCGTGGAAAATAGCCCATCAGCTATAAACCTCCATTTTTGGTTGGGATTTTCCATGGCGAACTGTTAGTCATAACCAGATGGTATATATCTATACAGATAGGATAATAGTTGATTTAATGATCTCACGATTTGATCTAGTTAGAAGTTGGTTTAGTTTGAACCCCCTCCAACTATATATGCATGCTGTAGATATATACATATATATAACGATACATCCACCATGCACCCATCTTTGAACCTACAGGCAGGTATGTTTGCCAACTTTGCCTAGTGTGGGGAATACCACCTTGGGCCAACACCATTGAAGTCATGATCTTCCCCACAGAAAAAAGAAACAACAACTCCCACCACCACAGGAATATTACAGTACTTGAGATAGACTTTAAGTGGGTCAAGCTTGGATTGGTAGATCAACCTACAAGGAACATATGAACCTCCCATCAGCTATGTGGCTTTGTTGGTTTCTGCGTGTTTTGCAGGGCATCTGAGATTGGCGGATATGGGTAGCCGGCCGCCAAAGACCCGAGGAAGTTGTGGGTGACCCAAGAATGGTCAATAGTAGGTCAATTTGATGCCTGTTAGAGGTTGAGATTTTAAGTTTCTGGACGATTTTACTAAATTTGCCAAGACAAATGGGCAGGTGAACATTAAAACATTAGCCACTGGGTTTAGAGAACATCATGGATCTTCATGTCCCAATGTCCTTTTTGTTTTTTGGGATGTGAATTACAGAGGTAGAGTTTTTTGACCAATAACCATGTTTTGCCGATGTTTTCTGCATCTAATGAATAGAACTGGAATCATTTATTAGTAATTGCTTCAGAATCGGACAAGATGGCACGAAGATGCCATGGATTCCCCCGCCGCAGGATACGCGGCTCCCTTCTCCCTGGGTGCCGGCGCCTACTACGACATGGGCCTCCATCAACCGCTTCAGACCTTTGAAAATCTGCACCAAGAGTTTCTGGCGACCGACTTCGAGTACCCGTTGCCCCAGCCAGTGCCCCCAAGCCCAGTGCCCCACCCAGTGCCACCAGGGGCGCCAGTGCCAAGCCCAGCCCCTTTGGCACCGGTAGGGCCTGTAGGGCAGCTGCCAGGGCCGGCACCTGCCGTGCCACCACCGTGCGAACCAGCACCACAGGTGCCACCCACGCTGCTGCCACAAGTGCCATCGCATGCAGCGACACAACAGAATGGCAGTGCGCCGCAGGTGGGAAGCTTTGGGTCAGATCTGGAGGATGGAACCAGAGAAAGTCTTAAGCACCATGAGAATCCGCTTTGGAAGATGATAGTCTTTTCGGAAAACCATGGCCATTTCGGGAGATCATCTTTATCTTGATCTTTGGGTTTGGGGTCGGTGACCCCAATGAAACATCATAAGTCAAGTGCTTTCTACGTAATAAAGGCCCTCCAAAGATCCAACTGGATGTGATTCCAATTGGACTGGGCTCAGACTGACGATGAATCCAGCGTTCTGATTTCCATGGGGGCCATTCCGCTTGGATGGCAATTTTTGGATGGCATCTCCATGCTTTGACACTGGATTTTCTGCATGTTTCCATGCTCAATATTGACTAATCAATACTAATCACAATTCAACATCCCATTCTTGGTGGGTTTCAACTCACAACCAGATTTGGAGTCAAATGGGTATGGATCAATACCTATTAATAGCATTTTTAATGGGATGAACATCCATAAATCCCAGCTATTTTGGGGTTCACTAGGTACCAGGGTTTTGACCCATCCCCAAATATCATGAAACAGGACCTCTGCATGTTTGGTAAAAACAACCATGGTTTCCAGTTTCAATATGTTCAATATTCCCGCGAACACGAGCTGGTTGAATTCCAGTCAAGAATTCTTGGTTGGATAGTTCAATAGTTGAATAGTCAGTTATATATAATATAATTATATTATAATTAATAAACAAGTTATATATCAGTATGATAATCAGTTCTAAATTTTTTCCAGGAACAAAAATTCTCCCAGATTTCCTCAGCCGTACCCTGCCATGGTGGCACCCCATGGTGGCCGGTGAGGTGCTAAAGCTCGAAGACGCCTTAGCTCCCGCGGCCTCCGTGGCGGTGCAAAGCGCCAATGCGGCGTTGGAGGAAACGCGGCACCAGCACCTCGAGGCGAAGCCGCCTGGAAAATCACCATTTTTAATAGGAAAACTATGGAAAGTCACCATTTTTAATAGAAAAAATCAACTATTTCTATGGCCATTTTCAATAGCTATGTTAAATTACCAGAGGGTATCTGTTGGTTGTGCCCGTGGACCACGGCTGCTTTGAGTCGTTTAACCAACCAACCTTTGTTGGGGAGTTATGAAAGAATGGGAGATGAATGGGATATATCTTTTTGGGGGATCAGGATATAATGGGAGATTGAATGATATTGAGGTCTTGTGGGTTGATATGGAGACTACTAGTCGGACATTCGGGCTATGTTTTTTTAGCTATGTTTTTTGCGAGAGAATTCAATAGCCTCACTATTGATACATCCCCGCAGCACCTTCTTTCTGCACGAGTTATCACAGGTTTTTTCACCCACAAAACATTGGGGATTCAACTAACCATGTTATAAGGATAGACTGGGAATATAGGGGGGCTACTGGCCCCTACTGTTGCGATAGCCACGTTGGTCTATTCACGAGATGCATTCTATGGTTTATGATAGATGTAACAAACTAGTTGATAGGGGATATAAACCAACTTACAACTGAGGGGCCACGCCTTTGAGAAGTTTTACAGCATAGAAACAGTATGGGGTTAAAATAATGTCAAGCACATGGATAATTTTATGGTTCATACTATACATGATTGATGTTACTATGGTGGGTCTTTAATATCGGATAATGTAGTGTTAATTGACATAGAACGATATTCTGAACTGGGGCACCACTTCGAATGCTTAATTTATTTCATTTGATCCCCATTGGATTCCAATTATCATCCCCATTTTTATATCCCAATATCAAAATTATATCAACATGATATCCCAATTCATATCCCAACTACACATTATATCAATTATATCGATATTCATATCCCAGCTACATAGTATATCAACTATATCCCAATGAAGATTGCTATGACACATCCCTATTCTATCCCCATGAACTATCCATGTTAGGTGCAGCAAGCCGCCCAAGTAGCAGCAGCTCAAGCCGTGAGCGCCTCTCACGAAGAACAGGTGGGATCCGGACATATCTATAATATCTACATATATATATAATATATCTGGTTGGTAGATTCAATATCTATTATTTTCCATAATATACCATATACCACAATATACACCATATATAATATATATATATATATACCATAAGATTCCATTATTCTATATATACCCTCTGGTAATGACTAACATAGCCATGGACAATCACATTTTTAGTAGGTAAACCATCTATAAATGGGGATTTTCCATGGCTATGTTAAATAACCAGATGGTATATATATATATATACAGGAATATATACAGGATAGGGCCCCCAAGATAGCTACGTTGAGATAGAACTGGCTTAATTATGGTTTATGGTAACTATAGTTTATGGGGGTTATAAACCAACAAACATCACTGTGGAGGCACCATCCTGTAGGATATATGGGATACAACTTGGATATAACTTTCTAGGATGATACATCTCGCTTATTATCTCCCACATGTAGGACTTTTTTCAACTCGATTAATGGAAAAACGTATCGGAAAAAATGGATAAGACTGCCATGAACAATGAGGATTTCATATGATTTCATATGATTTCATGACATTTCTGAATGGGTTTTTTTCCAGATCATCCATGGACATCCATGGACGACGATGACGACTGGGGATCCTCGATTTTCGGACACATCCAAATGGTTGTCTCGGGAACATGATGATGGACCAATGGATGGACCGGGCTACGAAGAATCTTCAGATAAACCTTTGTGGGATTAAATATTTGGGGTAAACAAAATATACACAAATATGATAAACAAATATATGTTTTTATAAGCCATCCTGTTCTCAATTCATGATCTAGAAGTGGTTAGATGATTAATCTTGAGATGATTAATCTATGTCATAACCCATTAATTAAGTGTTTTGTACGAATCTATGATGAATCTATGTCAACCGTTTTTTACAGCCCCTAAACAGCAGGCTGCATTTTCTATACATTTCGAAAAATGGGATTCCCATGATGACTTAACCACTGGATTTTTTTGGGATTAAGCCAAGCATCATCCGGAAAGCCAATGGGCATAGAAAATCATTAAAACTTGGTGATTTATAGTGGATTTACCCATTAAAACTTGGGGATGTAGAAGTTTGTGACTGGTTTGTAGACAACAGTGACATGTCAAACGTCCGATCATGACCATGACCTGGAAAAACTGGGGGTACTGAATGTTTTAACACCATTTTCCTGTAAAACATACATGTTTTCATTGCCTCTAATGTTGGCGGAAAAATCGTGACACGGGGCGGCTCAAAAAAAAAGTGGCTGGATTTCATAAACCAAACATACCATGTGGTATGTGGGTTAAAGGAAGAAATCCAGAGATCCAACAAAAGAGAGATATTTCACGGTATTTCGCGATGAAATGAAGTCACATCAGCTAGGGAACGTTGGTTGTCCGTTCTTTGTTGCAGCTGGATTAATGCCAATGGTCTCGAAAATTGTCTGTGGTTCTTGATTTGCAGATGCCCAGTGGGACAAAACCATGGACAAAACAAAGGAATCTCGGAGAGCGTGGGCCACATGTATAAAGTGGGTCACGACGTCATAGTGTCTGCAACCCATAGATGATTGTTGTTTATGCTGCAGCCAGTAGCTACTAGGGACTTAATATGTTCAATAGCTTTGTTGTTTATTGTTACCCTCTGGTTATTTGTTACATAGCCATGGTATAGCTGGCCCATTTATAGTGAGTTTACCTATGAAAAATGGTGGATCTTTCCATGGCTATGTTAGTCATAACCAAAGGGTAATTTTTTTTGCCAATCGCGTTTCTTTTTCTTCGGCAGCGTCGAATCTCGGAGTGGTGTTCTGGCTTGCTTTGGAATCTGAGAGACTCGTTTCCGTCCCTGGTTGAGATGTTTTGCGGGGAATTCCATATACGATATACATGTCTAATACAGTCTATACAGTAATCACTTCGAGACAAGACTGAAATTCCATGTTTTCTAGAAATTGAGTGATACTGTATACTGTACATTCCAGCATGTATACAGAAATTTGATAGCATAAATCACGCTATATATTCCGGCATTCCATATTCGTTGCTCTGCATCCCACGGTCAACGGGTGAAGGCAAGGCTGAAGGCACCCCAGTTTGGCGGGCGATGCTTCGTATCTGACTTTTTTTGGTCTTGGCATGTCTAAAGTCATCCCAACTTTGGTTAGTCACCAATTTTGCCATATTTTTCATAGAATTGGATGATGGGAAAATTTTAACCGGAAAGCCCTATATTTGATGGTAAAAACCATGGTTTCCGGTTAACATTTTCCCAAGAAAACCAATCCATTGAATTTTCCCTCGTCTCACTGGTCTCCCAACTTGGAGTTTTTTCTTGGCGTTTCATCGTTGCTGAGACTCCGAACAATGGACAGGATATAGTTACCCTCTGGTAATGACTAACAGTCTGCCATGGAAAGATCCACCCTTTTTAATAGCTAAACCATCTATAAATGGACCATTTTCCATGGCTATGTTAGTCATAACCAGAGGGTATATTATGTTATATTCCAGGCCACAGGATCTTGGGTGTTTCAACACAGGCAAATTCCCAGAATTTCTGAAAATGGAAGCAAAACATGATCTTGGTTTACCCATTTTTTTGGTGACAGAACCATATCTGGTTGGTGGTGACTGGAACATGAATGGATTATGACTTTCCATCAAGTGGGAACAATAATCCCAACTGACGAACTCCCATGATTTTTCAAGATGATTAAAACATATTAAAAGCACCAACCAGTGATGATTAATAAATTCTTTTTGGTTGGTGGTTTTAATCATCCTGGTTGGTGGTCCAATCCATTTTTGATCATCCATTTTGACCATTAAACCAGTGATGATTAACCACGACCTCCAATTCTTTTTGGTCCAATCCATTTTTGATGCTTGAACCGTTGAGCCCAAACCCCAATGATTCGATACGTTTTTTTCAACCATCTTAAACCACCAACCAGGGAGTATAATCTCAGTATATTTATGATGCTTAAGCCACATTATGTGTATATATACACACTGTTTTCGATGGTTATGAATTTAATATGGATATATGTGATATATATAAACATTCATGTTTTTTGATGTATATATTCATGTCCCTTACGATGGTCGGTGCCCCGTAGGTCGCAGCGGCGAACGCATTTGCGTCAGCCAGCGGGTTGGCCCTGCAGCAGGTGTGATCGGGTTCGGATATCTATTTTCCAATGATAAAAGCCTCCTATAATCACCAACTTGAGGATGCCTATCCTCTGGTAAACTAACATAACTATGGAAATCACCATGTCTAATGGGAAAACTCACTATAAATGGCCATTTTCAATAGCTTTTTGTATGTTTTTCAGAGGGTACATGTTCATTTGGGGATGTGTCATCCATGAAGTAGCCATATGACTTGAGGAAAAAGCATCCAGTCACCAGCGACTTAACCGTTTGGGTGCCAGGGTTTTGATCCACCATTTACCCGGCCTGGTCAACGTTGACAGTTTGCGAACTGGAAAATCACCATTTTTGTGGGAAAACTATGGAAAATCACCATTTTTGTGGGAAAACTATTGAAAATCACCATCTTTAATAGGTAAATCAACTATTTCTATGGGTCATTTTCAATAGCGAACTGTAACAAATTACCAGAGGGTAACGATGCTTTTCAGCATCAAGTGGGATTTTATTGGGTGGAAATCACTGATGCTGGTGATCATTTCTGGGGTTAGAAGTTCATGTTGATCAACTTCCAATCTAGCTTCCCAAATCCAAAGTTCGGAACTCCCAACTACTTCACTGGTACCAAAAAATTAATTATATGGTAATCCATATAGTTCAATGTACTTCCATATAGTTCAATTAATATTCCTTGATATTTCTTGTTTTCATCACCCATGAATTCAGAATGGTGGCCATGACCGCCATATATGGCGCTGGTTCACCAGCGCTGGTTCCCCAGGACGCCAAGAGTGAGCTGAATCTGCCCAGCGCGGGCTCTACAGGGCATCACTTGGGTCAGTGCAGGCGGAGCGGAGCGGAGCGATGGCCACCGGAGACCGGAGTGATTTTTTTTGGAATCAATATAGCCTGGATATATATAGCGACGGACTGAAACTTAGAATGCCGCACCCCTTCCGGACGCGCTGTCCTAAAGAATGCCGCCGCGGGGGCAAAATCTTAAAACACCCTGGTAAAATGCAATTTTTGGGTACCTGTAATTTTACAGGTACTTTTTTTAAATGAATCGTTCGTAGGTAAATTTTGTGAGAATTTACAGCGTAATATGAGATTGAGTGCCACACATAGAATGCCTCCGGCCAAAAGTCCCGGTCGCAGCATGTCAAACATTTGAAGCCCATATTTTCAAAATACTCGGTATACGCGGGGGTTTATGTACTTTGTGCAGCCCACATAGAATGCCGCCAAAAACAAATACAAATGTTATCATTCTGTTGCAAAATCTCTGTTCTTTTATGAAACACATGGTTTGAAGGATTGTATAAATTTACTATTTCATATGAACAATTGTGTATAAATCCAATCTCATGGGAGGTATCCTTTCCTTTTTCCTTTCCTTTTTCCTTTCCTTTTTCCTTTCCCTTTTCCTTTCCTTTTTGCTTTCCTTTTTCCTTTCCTTTTTCCTTTCCTTTTTCCTTTC